GCTTCGGCTGGGGCTGAGGCTCCGGCTGGGGCTCCGGCTTAGGCTTTGGCTGGGGCAGAGGCTCCGGCTGGGGCTCAGGCTGGGGCCTGGGCCTGGGTTTGCGTCCAGCCTGGAGCTGGCCCGGGGTCTGGGGTTCAGGGTGAGGGTGGGGCTCGGGCTGAGGCTGGGGCTCTGGCTGAGGTTGGGGTTCAGGCTGGGGTTCAGGCTGAGGCTGAGGTTCAGGCTGGGGATGGGGCAAGGGCAGGGGCCAAGGCAGGGGATGGGGCAGAGGCTGGCGCCCAGCCAGGGGCTGAGGCTGGGGCTCAGGCTCAGGCTCAGGCTGGGGCTCAGGCTGGGGTTGGGGCTCTGGCTCCGGCTCCGGCTGGGGCTGAGGAAGGGGCCAGGGCAGGGGCTGGGGCAGAGGCTGGCGCCCAGCCAGGGGCTGGGGCTGGGGCTGGGGCTGAGGCTGCGGTTGGGGCTGGGGCTGCGGCTGAGGCTCTGGCTCAGGCTGTGGCTGGGGCAGAGGCTGAGGCTGAGGCAGAGGATGAGGCTGGGAGCTAAAGACTACATCATCATCATGGCCCAGGGATTTGGCCTGTGGCTGTGGCTGAGGGCCGAAGACTACATCACCATCGGCAGGGGATTCAGGATCAAGCAGAGCCTGAGGCACAGGCCTAGGCTGAGGGCCGAAGACTACATTTTCTTGGACAGGGTGCTTATTCTCCAGCTCAACGTGAGGTCCAACCCTAGAATATATGATCAAAAAATTAAGTTCTACCCTCTAATCAGCCTGATGTCTTTTGGGACAGGAGGAAACCAAAATATTTACAGGGCAAGGCTTAATTAGTGAATAGTGACAGTAACTGAGGAGGCATTAACAAATGAAACTTGCTAATTCCTTTTAAATCTTATTGCTCTTTGGTGACTTTGTATGCATTCCTCCTTTCATAATTCTTTACTTTAAAATCGTCAACAACAAACAGACTAAATTTTCAGAGGCCATTTTGTGTACAATCAAGTAGGTGGGCATGGTTTGCGTGAACTTTGGCCAGTCAGCTGCTGTGTGCTGTTACTAACCTAGGCCTTACAACTGCCTGAGCCTCAGCACCTGAGAGGACAGGGCAAGCCAAAGGCTAGGAGCTACTGAGGAAAGCTTGCAAGCAGATAGGACTGAAAATTTCTGGCATGGTTCCGTAATCCTCACACTGAGTGGAGAAAGGCAGGCTTTGTGGCTGTCTCTATCCTGTGTACTGGACCCAGGAAATGGATAACCAATAGGAGAGCATCTTAGGTACCAGGGCCAATAACGACAATAGCAATAATAATGATAATATTTTTAATAACAACCACAATTTAGAAATTCATTTGTTAATATATGAAAGTCCCCATACTGCTAGAGATCAGGATGAAAGGGCCCCCATTTTGTGATGGCTTATCAGTTGTAGGCTAATTATTTCAAAAACTTTCTGTATAGGGGTTCAAATTCGGTAAGAAGGCATTTTAACAATAAAAAAAAATCCCACTGGCTAATATGTAGATAACACTTGAGTCCTGATTTTTAAAACCAAAACTATAAAAATTATATAGTAGAGAATAACTGAAGCATGAATAAATCATTCTTAAATATTTGCTGTGATAATGATATTTTATTGTAGCCCTTAATGACTACAATATTTACATACAAAATGATATAACATCTGAGAGTTATTCATTAAAAAAAATCCATGATAAAATGGGTGGTTAGAGATAGGGGGCAGAGAAAATAATTGACCATTGGTTTTTTCATTAATATTAAGGTTGATTGTGGCTATGTGGAAATACAGTTTACTATATATCCTTGAAAAAATACAATTAAAAGCATTTGAAAAAGATATCAGCACTAATTAACATTTGATGTTCAAAGGCAAGAGAGCGGTTTCCTTGAGGAAGTCTGTACATTTGATGAGGCTTGGGGCGGCAGGGGAGATTGTTTCCTTATCATCTAGGTGCTGGTTACCTAATCATGCTTACTTTAAGAAAATTCACTGAGCTATTGTTCATTTATGATCGCTGCGTTTTCATATTTGTGTATTACACTTGTAAAATAGTATTTTGAAGCTACCAGGCAAAGTTAATCCCTAAAATGGAGCAAGATACTAGGATGAGCAGGTCCCTGTGCTGCAGATCAGGGAACAGACAATTGAGCATCAAAAGTGCATATTTTTCCTACAGTGTTCTGAGCTTTTAGAATAGTTTAATTGGCATACAGATGTGCTAAGCTAGAGCCATTTCTCATTTGTGAAATGGCTAATTCCCATAGTGGGCTAAGTAAGGACTGGGTTTGGGAAAAGCATTTCCACTTTCAAATACCATCTCTAGATGATGTCTTCTTCTCTAAGGCTTTTTAAGTCTCCGAGGCATCTAGAGGCTTATCCCCTAGGTCTCCGAAGAGAAAGGGCCAACAATAGGGATCAGAGTCCCTCTACTAGGCCTTCAAGGAAAATAATGAGTGTGGGGAGGTGATCCTTCAATTTGATTTTGTCAGTGTAAACAAACAGCCACACCTTGAGATCTTTGGGGTTAAGAAGCTCCTGTGAATCCATACCCATCTCCAAAAAGCCACCAAGCTCTTTCTCAAGGCTAGAAAGAATAAAGCTTAGAAAAGCACATTGGCCTAGTGGGATTTTCCAAGGAAACTTTTCAAACATCCACAGCCCTCCAAATGTGATAATCCTGCATGAGACTAAAGCTCTGCGCTACCACCTTCCAAATCTGGCTGAAGATGAGAGCAAGGGAGCCCTGGGTTTTTTTCTCAAAAATGCTGGTCTTTTCAATTTACTGATGGATAAACCATATAGGGGAGAAATGTGCTCAAAATCATACATCTGATTTGAAGCTGAGCTTGGATCAAACAGAAGTTTGGTCCAAAACCCTCCACTGCCACCCCCCCCCCCTTTCTTGACATCACAGGTTGCCATGCTGACAGTGTGTGCACACGTCAGTGTCTGTTCCCCCCCACCCCCGCTGGATGGGCTGTTTTTCCCTCTCATCTCCCTCCCTTCTTCTTCACGCCCCCTCCCTCATCCTCAGCCATCTTTGGTCCCTGAAAAACTCCATCTAAAGGGACATAGATAACAAGAAATTGCTAATTCCCATTTAGAAACATTTACCAAGCCCCTGCAGAGGCCAGCCTCACCTTAGGGCACCAGGGAGTCAGCAGAGAGCCACATATGCCTCCCTGAAGGGCTATAACCTGGGGTGGGGAGAGAAGACACATTGCCCCTCCTCAAAACAAACAAATGAAAAGACCCAAGCCAAATGCCATGGAGACTTCTAGAAACTTCGACAGATGAAGAAGCTAGAAACTTCTGACAGCTCACACACCACAGAAAAACAGTCTCCAAAATGAAAAGAAAGAAAAGGGAATTCAAAAACACACGAAGCAATCATCTTCTACCGTAAAACGCCAGAAATCCTAGGAACACTCTTTTTACCAATGCTCAGGGTCAGGGGATTAATGGGGGAAGGCTGGCTGCTCAAGGGAAAACAGAAAAAGGGAGGGGGCTAGAAATCCAGGCCACAAACCACAGACCTCAGGAAAGATAAATATTCCAGCCTCTGGCTCAGGTCTGCCCCCAAGACCAAGCAGGGTGCCTTGGGAAAAGGGAGGCAGAAGGGATGGGAACACTGAGATAACCAAGGCTCAGGCTCCTGCCTGGGACTGGAAGAAAATGCGACGGGATGGGGAAACAAGTAAAGTCAGAGTTGCCTGGCATCTTGCCTAGTACTCAGCAGGCGCTCCGGGGGAAAAATGTGAGCAAGAGTGAACAGAATAGGAAACACTCAAGCATTTCGAGGCACTTCAGGCCCCTTAGCCCAGGAGCCACCTTCCCAAAGTCTTCAGCCACCCCGAGTTGTACGCGCTAGCTCTAGATGTTTCCACGCGCCCTTTCCCCTCTTCCTGCGTAGACTGTGAAAGGGAACCAGGTGCTCTTGCTGCTTGGCCGCCCGCTCCAGGGCTTTGAGGGCCAACCGGAGTCCACGACGCCAAAATCAGACAGTCCCACCTACCTTCCCCGCGCTCCCCGTTGTCAGCCCGGGACGCCCGCCCTCCTACAAGGGGGCACATGGGAGGGTGGTGCGCGTCGAGGGGACAAGGGTCCAGGCTGGCTTTGCCATCTGGATAACGCCTTGGCACAGCGGGAGCTGGGATCAAGAAACCCCGGGGGTCCCGGAAGCCTGCTGGACACAGTGGGCTCTCGGGTGTTGGGATGGAGACTCACCTCCACTGGAGAGCCAGGAATATGTTGAGGAGCATCAGGAGAACTTTGGGCAACATCTCGGCGTTGCCTGGCGCGACCACCTGTGTTGAGGTCGCAGCGCAGGTCTGGCCGCTCAGAGAGAGGTGGATGGTTTTGTTGGGCTCCAACTTTCACTCCTCCCACTCGCCCCGCCCCAGCCCGCGCTCCCTCCTCACCGTGGGCCCGCCCCCTAAGCCCCGATGGAAATCTCCGACGACGTGAGCACTGCGGCAGCGGGGAGCAAGGCTGGGGCGGGCAGGCAGGGGGGTGGAGAGGAGGGAGCGTTGTCGCCAGGGCCCCCAGCAGCCAGCACTGCGGCGCTGCCAGACAGCCAGGGCGGGGGGCGGGAGGAGTGAGGAGGAGGCGAGCCTGCAGCGTGAGGCCCTGGGCTTGGGGAAAACGCGCTAGCGCTTGTGGCTTGGGGAGCCTCCACTGGCTGGGCCAGGCGAGCGCAGGAGGGCGGGTGGGGGGGGGGCACTTTGCTGCGACCCCTTCCAAAACCCTGATTGGCTCTGAGGTCCTTGTGTTCTTCCTTACTACCTGTTGAGCCCCATTGCTCTTCCCCATCTTCCCCCGTAGCCTTGCTGATTTTTCCTGGTCTTGCTCCACACCCTCCAGCCCTTTGGAGCACATCTGCTGGCCTCTGAAGGAAGCTGGATAACTCAGTACCACCCTCAGTGCAGGCAGGAGGAGGTGTTTAGGGCTTCTCCCTAGTAACCTCTGATCTGATTCCATCTATAGGCCAATTCCAAGTGTACCCAGGAGGCAAGGGAACAGTCACCAGCTGGGGATCCGGCAAAGGCATTCACTGGAAGACTGAATCCCTCAGGGGTATGGACTCAACATTGTTTTCTGTTCAGGCTTGGGGCCTGGGTGTCAGAGGAGGCTTTCGAAACTGCCCCTCTGCAATAGGGCAGGGGAATTTTTCTTAGATCTCTGCTCTAGAGAATACCAAAGGAAGAAATGAGAAAGCCTAGAGGTGAGGTAGCATACCAAGAATCTCCAGCATTCTTGGAGTACTTCTTTTGCATAGACCCTTTGAACTGACTTCAGAAATTTGCATGGCAAGCTCTTATTGGACACTAGCAGCATCCTCCTTCACCTGTTGCTCCAGAAAGCACTGTAGGCCTGAAGGTTCTAGGAGAGGCTTTGCTAAAGCACACTAATCCACTAAACCCTCTGCACACCCTCCCTATTGCATCACTCTGCTTTGTCATGTTCTAAGCACTGCTCTCTACCTGTTTATTTTCATGGGGATTTCTTTCT